ATTTTATTCGATGCCTATAAGTATTTCCTTTACTATGACTTCAGAACTCTATTTTTCAGTTACAGCAAGTTTCACTATTTTCAACAACATTCATATTTATATTATATTAAATTATATACCGTTTACTTTATTTACAGCGCCTGCATTAAACTTTTTGATACCCACAATCATTTGTTAGTTATTAAGGTTAAAAGCTAACTTTTATAAAAGTGGGTCATGGCATGTGATTAACTCCCCACGGGTAACCTTAAGCTTTTTGACTAATGTGAAAGTTTATTGGTCTTTGACTCACCGATAAGCAGCGGAAGAAACTGAAATAGCTCTGGTAGCCTAGAAACAATATACGTCGGCTGCTACATTATTTTCTCGTGTTGGGTTTGAACTGCATAAAGTAGAACATTTGCAGTTGTAATTCCGCATGCAAAGCTGCTCGAGAAGGGTTGCCTCATGGAGCTTTCACAAACATTAAAGTACTTATTTAAAATATGTTTTATTTTGATATAGCTGATATGTAATCTATGGGATTTATGTTGTTCGTTAATTTTTGTTGGATCCCGAGTTTCCACAACGCGTTATTTAATCGCGGATGCATATATCTGGCACCACTTTTTGCAATTTTTCTGAATTAATACCAAGCCAGCTTGAACTTTTATATGCACCATTTAATTATTTTCTTTGAACTTTCAGTTGAACGAAATTTATTTGGGAATACCATGAAAATACGTTCTCTAAGTAATATTATAAGATCCGTTTCTTGACAAGACAGAAATACAATAAGACAGATAAAAGCCACTTCGAGCGCTCAGTTTCCTTTATAAGTCCAAGACATACCACTATAAATCTTGACCTTTTAGGGGAACACAGAAGTTTGTCATAATTTTTCCCGTAGTTTCGCACCCGTGCCTCGAATATGTGTGCAACATTTTCTATAAAGTATTTTGATTTATATCCTTCTTCTTTATTTCGTATACTTTCAGTTACATTTTTTAGAAGAGAAATTTCCGAATGCCGATTTTATTGCAAGTGATGGCGACATTCGGTTCGCATGGGAGAAGAGGATAATTGAGTGCGACATAGTGTTGGCAGACAGATATTGGCAGCAGAAACAGTAAATTGCGACTGATCAATATTGGTAAAAAATCTGTATTGTTTCTCGACATAACACTAGTAGAAATTGACAAAATATTATTTTAATTTTATTTATCAGCATTTAGCTATATGGACAGATATGAAATTGTTAAAACCTGCAACACTAAAACACCAGCTTCTTGAGTTTTCTGTGAACAGAAAAAGTACCTTCTAACTCAAACCAAATATTCGTTTTAATTGAAACTATTTGAAAAATTGTTACATTCATATTTTCATTGGGGGTCCCTAAAAATTAATCTAAATCATATCTTAAATTATGTCTTACGTATATGACTTTGAGCCAGGAACATGTATTTAAAATGCTTGACTGGCATGGAAAAGGATAAATACCGACGGAGGACGTCTAAGGCACTTGCGATATGCGGACGATATTGTGATCATTGCGAACAGAGTTGAAGAGCCTAAAAGCATGCTTGAAGAACTCAGTCTGGCTTCACTGGAAATTGGACTCGAAATGAACAAAAGCGAGGGTCGTCAGAACAGCGGACATTCAAGTAACAGTTAACCACTATCCCCTGGAAACGGTCTCTGAATATATTTAGGTCGGCCACAAACTTCAGTTTGGATAATGAAACCAAGCTTTCGAAATATCAAGAAGAATAGGCCTCTCCTGAATAACTTTTGGAAAACTAGGATTCAGCTTGAAATCTTGTAAACCTAAAAAGACAACGGATTAAATGGATATGGGCTGGGAATACAGCTAGGCAGGTTGGCCAAAGGTGGACACACAGAGTCTTTAGTTAGAGCTCAAAAGAGGTAAAACGGAGCATTGATAGTCTCAGGGGCGATAGCGGGTCGACATCCGGTGCTTCGCGGCAGAGACTAGATCGAGACTGCTTGGGATAGAGGAGCATGGAAAATGTTGGAAGAATCCTTTATCAAGGAGTGGATATACACCGGCTGAGGAGAAGAGAAGATGACGTTGAACCTCGATATCGTCTAAGAGCTGATCCTTGTCTGATGGACTCGATCCTTCGAGATAAACAGTTTACTATTTTTGGGATCTTCACAAAGTAGATGCTATGTTTATGTGCAATAATTACACTATTATAATACTTCAATATAGTCACTTCCTTTCTTAAACTTTCTTTGATACAGACTGATACAGTAACGGAATAATATTGTTTTTCAAACATTTTTATAAAAGTGGTTGTAAGTTGCGCCCCTAAAAAATCATTATGGAACAGTCTGTAATTAAATCCCCAATTTGCTTAGGGCGGTGGGAACTGGTTTATTTCAGCTTGATACAATTAAATGCAGAGACTGAAAACAGCGCTGTGTTGAAGATATGAAATATACAGGGCATTAATGAACGAATTACTCCAGATGGGATTTCTAATAAAGCAAAATGAAATTTATAATGAAGCAGTCAACCGCAAGTAAATTGAAATTGGCCTCGTAACTTCTAATTTGCACTGTTATTAGATGTTCTCCCTGCAGACCACGTTTTACCGTCTTGTTTGAGCATGTACAATACTATGTACCCGTCACCCCAAATTGTTAAGCGAACTTGCTTGGACTCGGCTTAAAACAGCTGATAAAATTAAAAGAGTATTTGTAACCCCGAGACGATTGGGTACTGTTTCTGTCTGACGTAGGTGACCTAGTTTACGCCCCTAATTTTGTCTTACTATTCAATAATTATGCTTAGAAAAAAAAACATACAATTAGCAGAATAGCTTATTCTTAAATCGCCGATCGTTCATTTAATTTATTTATCCTTATTTAACGAGCTTTTACAATATACCACATCCACTGCACCACTATCACCTTACATGAGCAGGAATTCCTCTACACCCAACCCTTCTTTAGGTCAAGCATTTCAACACTTATAGGCCAGGCGAATTACAACGAAATCTTTCAAATATGGTTCTAACGTGACGTAACTTAGATAACTATTGGAATCTTAAACTTAAAAACTTAAAATAAAATATTCTACAATCAAAAACAAAACATTTACTTAAAAAATAAATAAACTGATAATAAATTAGAGTGATTAAACAAAATATACGGTTTATATACAAAAATGTTTAAAAATCTCATTTTTATTTCAAAATGAATTCACATTTAAGAATAACATTTTTTGCAGATGCTTTTTACTGATTCTAGTTCTTCGCGCGTTTATGATAGCACCCGCTTAAGAAAAGAATCTATCGCATTTCGCTTCCGAATAACATTAAATAATACACAAAAACAACAAACAGAAATACGTGTTTGACACGCCTGGACGAAGTATTACTCGAGTTAATTTTGGTACCACCAAAAACTAATTTAAAAAATATGTCGACCTTACAACGTTTATTACTATTAAAATAAATTTCATTTCATATCTGACTGAACTTATATTTAAAAATGGCCAGCTTCCTTAAATGCAGGTGCGTATTCTGCTTAAAATGTTTGTTATTTTGCATTTCAAATGTGATGGAATTTATGTCTTGGACTCTTAGTTTGCTCATAGCTCTTATGCAAGTGTACATTCTGCTTAGTTTGCAGGTTATGGGCATATAGCTCCAGAGCTAAGTTTCTTGAAAAAATTTTCTTTTTTTAAGATTTATTACAGAGTGTCAGTAAACTAAATACTTATATACTAAAAATCCTGAATTATATATTTGCAGCAACTAAACAAATTTTAGTTGGTTCCTGGAGAACTGAACAGTAATTCTTATAAACGAAAAGTGATACACAATTATCAAGGCAACGCGCAACTCCATACAACATATTTTCCGTTGACAAATGGTTACTGAACCTACTGCAACTGGATAGAGGGTTCGACGGTGTGCGAGGTGCGCACCGTTGTTTCGGTTTTAAGAGACCGTTCCAAAAAAAAACGGGTTAAATCGGCTAGCTGTAACTACGGTTTCACGTTACACGTTTGAAACATTGTTATTTAAGCGGCTACGTTAAATACCGACCATCCCTATTACCTAGACGATCTCACTTTTTGCTGGTTGACCAAATGTTACGGTTCGCAGTGCTTCCAATTTGGTAGTTAAATTTGCGAATAATGTTGGTAGCCCTTGTAACAATGTGATATAGTATTTGGAAATTGAATCAAAAAGTGCTTGGAGAAGTTGTTTTGAAAATTGGTTGTTTATTTCACTGATATCAGCGATAGTCAAATTTAATTATAATTATTCCAACGAACTATTATCTGTAGCACTGGTACTAAGTAAATATGAAAATTTGTTAATTGAATCCATTCAATTATTAATTTGGCTAAAATGTTAACGATGTTTCAAAATGCGCCTCATTTGCACCAGTACTTAATATTATATTACTCGAAATATCGAAATATAATTTTCTCAATATTTAGAATGCATTTGTGTTCCATTATTAATAGGGAAATTTAAAATTATATACCCATGTTAGGAAAATCCTTAATTTCAGAAAAGCGCTCAAACTGAAAAGACCTGTAGGTGTTTGAATTAATTATTTGAATTAACCACCGCTGAGAATATAAATGTGATTCATCAAAATTATTCCAATTTGAAATAAAGGAAGGAGATGGCTGTTTAAAAGAGGTATAATAACTTTCAGCCGCCGGGAAATGCGTACAATTTTAAATGGAAAAATAATTATTCAGGACCGCCTGAAAATTATTATTAAATAAAATTTTGGCTTATATGTATATGAAACATTTTATGTGTGTGTTAATTAATTAATTTAACGGATTTGGAGTCATTTACAGCAACTACATTTTTTAAGTGTATATCTGGTTCACAAAGACTAACGCAGTGTACTCTTTTTAATGAATAATTATGAAAGATGCTCAGTTGCAATTGTAAAACAATTTTTTCATCCATTAGAAATTGCAAATATTCATTGCTAATTCCTTTGTTTCGTTTTTACAGAGAACATGAAAATACAGGACTTGGTGGAATCGGAACAAGGTAAGTGAGCATGTACAACCTTACGTATTTAGATACTCGAATAAGTTGATGTAAGCAAATAAGATGATTTAACATCAGCACATTTTGTCGCATAAGACACTCAGATATCGATGGGAATTTGTCTATTTATGATAAGATTGCGGAGAATGTGTTTGGTTCATTTCTGGAACTCCTAAATATAGGTTTTGATCCACGACAAAGTAATTTTCAGGTTTAGCTAAATCATGCTCTTCACTTTTGTCTTTAATGTGTGATTCCTAGAATTTAACAACGTACTTTACAATTGCTGTTCGCTAAAATTAAATTTGCCATCATGCAAATACTTTTTATTATTTTCATGCTGTCCCTATTTGTCCTCATCACTAAAACCCAGAGCTGGAAGCTGGATGGCTCGCACTTAACATGGGTCAAATTTAGTTTGATGTGATTATTTGCGTAGTACAACATTAGCTTCTAGAGAATTTCCGAAGACATAATAGACATAATTTTTTGGTACGGTTATTCAATAGCTGGTGAGCCAGAGCGCTCACTTCAATGAATTAGATTCGTGCTTTTCTTTATGTGCTGTATACTCTCTGAGCAACTATTTTGTAACTGACACAAATAGCTGCACAGGATGGCTTCTGGCAGTTGCTTGCCCTCGATAGTAGCAATCCTCAGTGTACTAATTTCCTATTTTTTTATTAGGCCTTGTTTGGAAAATGCCATATGGCAAAGCAATGATTCTCTCTCTTTGCTCTTTGTGCGATTTTAAGAACACGACAACCCGAGGAATCTTCCAATTAATCGAAGCCTGTCTTTGTTATTTTTCAATTGATGCTCATCGGCCAGATTATAAACAGAGGAAAACAGAGTGAACATGTTGTTTTCTTAAAATCTTATTCTCCAAATTTTGGTACCAACTATTTTTGAAATTTTTTCGTTGGGTAGCCTTTGATGAGCTACTTGGTAAAGTATATTGATTGATGTTTAATTTCCATGTTGTTCTGGTGCTGTGTTTTATGTTGGACTATTACAGAAACTGCCACGATTTTTCTCTTCGCTTTTTCGAAAGGGCGCTAGGAGTTCTTGCATGCATCGGTCATTTTTTCTGAGAACGAGCGTCTGCTGATCATTTTCCGGTATTTTTCTAGAAAGTCTTTAGAGTTGTACGTTCTCTTGAGAGCCTTGCGTACCAGTTTAACAAAGTACCTATACCTTATCAGACTATGAAGGCTTTCACGGCCGGTTAAATCACATTTAGGAATGTTTTCCGGGCTTTGAAGCCGTGTTCTCACGTCCGACTAAGAGTGAGTCGGAAAGCACGGGAGATCACTTCGCCCACTGCCTCATCGCCTTTGATAATCTCCACCGCAGTTGTGGACGAAACGTCAGGAAGAAATTCCCATAGACCACGGCTTTAAAGCCCGGAAAACATTCCTAAATGTACCTATACCTTATTTCGTCTGGTATGACTTTAGCGGTAATTTTCAAACTTTTTTCCAGAATAGTTTCACTTTACATTTCTGAGAGTAAACCACTCCACTAAATGGAACTACGATTGGCTTGCCAGCTGTCGCTATTCGGCACTATTTGACTATTATGTTATTCTATTATTATTCTTTTATGTCGATGGTTCTCAACCACTGGGCCGCGACACTTTGATATGCCTTGAGATTCTTAAAGATTTTTGTAGGCATTATAGTGATCTTTGTAACAAGTTAAGTTTGATACTAAGTAACATTTTAACACGTATTTCAATCATATTAATTTTTTTGCTCTAGATCGAAATCGACTGAACATACTGGCCTTAATTTAACATTGAACCAATTATTTTATTTTACCCCTCTGCACTATCGACGATAAAATTCTAACATCGTGTCTAATGATCCATTTCATTAAACATTTTTGAAGACAATTGCTTACGTTTACGTTAAGTCCATATAACCGTTTTCAGATAACTATGATGAAGATATTGAGGAAGAAGAGGAAGGACCAAGATACAATGAAAGCAATTTTCAGTTCAACGATTTTGCTAAAAGGTAGATAGATATTATTGAATTCTATTTTCGAATTATAAACTATGTGCGTTTTGTTATGCAGGCTGCCCCATCCAAAAATCGTCAGGGCTTGTGGATTGGCATTAAAAACTTTCGTTGATAATTCCATCCACACTAATCATTGCATTGTCAAACTTCTTCATAGAATAGCGTTTGATTGCAAAATGTATGTGATGGTGTTTCAGTTGAGCATTTTTAGATCGTTTCATGAGATCATTAAAATGAAAGAACTTCCGCAACATAAGGTAGGCAATTATTAGTTCTTACAGTAGAGGTTGCTTGAGCTAGTTGTGATATTAGCATTAAATTGCAAAGTTGATTTAAGTATACTTTGAAGGGGATATATACTTTGAAGGGGATATACATATATATCGATCAATGATCTTTTTTGCAATAGCAATAATAATGATGTGAATGAAATAATATGTGAATTCTTTCATTAACATTTGAAATTAGAATTTTGTTTTTTATTTTTATAAATGTACAAGCCGTGCTCCAATCAGTGACTGCTTGATGTTTCATACGGAGTTCCAATGTAATGTAATCGCAACGTTTGGTTGAAAAGCCGCCAAGAATGAAAACTTGTACGCCACTGGGAAAATTTGATTAACTATTTGAAAGCACATACTGCAAATGGCGAAAAACCTTTGTTCAGAAGCTCTAATTTCACTCTATTAGGGAACTATTACATTTTATTTTGAATTGTTTTTAACTAAAAAATCCAAGGCCTTTCAATTATTCCCTACGAATTAATAATATTTGAATTGGAGTGGAGTTCAAGGTCAAATAATGGTCCATTATATTTTATCGTGTTGGATCACAATATTTATCGAAGCTTGGTGAAATTCGAAAATTTCTTTCTGACACAAAAATAATTCTTATTTAGGACCGAATTGTTGAAGAATATTTCAGATTAGGGTTTTAGGCTATTTGGGCTGAACATCCCAACGATTTGAATTATACCGTTGGGTTGTCGGGCTCGAGAAGATAAATGTGGAAATATTTATTTTATTATGTCGAGCCAAAGAAATATTTTACTGCCTCTGTTTAGATTTGGAAGGTCTGAAAAAGAAATCCAGTCTGGTTTTTACTTGGACAGCAGTGATAATTAAATTTGGGACCTGAGACAAAATATTTCTTCTATAACGAAGAAGCTTAAGCTCAAAAATGAATCGGCATTGTAAAGTAAAATAAATGAAAAATGTATGCTTGGGAATAAATCCCAAAGCACCAACTCTTAAACTTTTCTGTGCATACTAATAGTATAAAATAAGTTTCAAAGTTTATAGGTTTTTATTTAGTATCTCATACAACGTTTGTAAACTTGTACAGTTTTTTAACTCACCGATTCAATTTGAATTCCATTTCAAGCGTCATTTAGTGCAGTTCTTTTGCGGTTAATGCGTGTTTTTGCAGAAAATTAGTGCTTGATGTAAAATGTCTACAAAGTAGCAAATTAAACAATACAGAATTGGTGGAAGTTCCGCGTGTTTTCAGTTGTACAAAAAAAACGATATTATAAAATATAAACACATCCGCATATGTCAAAAAACGTTTTTGAATTTTTCGATTATAGTTTATTTACAGAGGGGTCTCACAAAAATGAAGTTTTTGGTTTTGCAGTCGTAAATATTTGTCTCTTCAGCCGATTTTCAAAACATTGAGCTCATATTGAAGCAACAACAAACAAAGTGAACTTCACTTTGTTTGAACATCTTCCAGAATTCTGATTTACGTAATTTTTTTTGCAACCCTGTATACGTAATATTTGTCTTAAATTGCTTATGAAGTTTGAACTTCAACATGAGCTCGAGATCGTGGAAATAGGACCAAGAACAGAAAAGTTATCGCTGAAACACCAAAAATTTGATTTTTTGAGACCACCCTGTAAATAGAAAAGACTTTTTCCCGCTACCTATTTGGTTTACATTTAAACTTTTGGTGTTGAGATGTGAGATGGTGAGAGAAAACAGTTATTTGTCTACTTAGGAGCATGCGGAACTTTGCGAAATTTCGCATTTTTTTACTTGCCGTCCTGTAGAAAATTTATCTGAGGTGCTTAATTTTTACCAAAAGATCCACTAATGAGAAATAAATCGCGCTCAATAATGCTTCAAACAGAAGCCAAATCTCTCGAAGCAATCAGCATTCATCCAGTTTCAGACTTACGGCAAATTTGGCTGTGTACCGTTCATTTTCTTGAACAGTTTATGTGAAAATTTACATCAGTTCTTCTATATGTTTTCAGTACTTCCGGTGTTTCAGACTAATTGCGTTTTTTTACTGAAATTAAACGAAAACAATGAAAATTAAAGGATAGTGCAATTTTACATTCAATCGGAGGATCACATACGAGAATCTGAGTAGAATGCAATGAAATGTAATAAATCAAAATGAAGAAGAGAAAATAATTGAGTGGGAACTTGCTTTAGAGTCTTAAAAACTTAATAGCGCGTTATTTTATATTTTAATATACTGCGTTTGTATAAGTTTTGACAGTCTGAATTTTGCAGATTATCATCAAGCTTTGTGCCTAATATTTATAACCAATAAACCAATCATAATCGAAAAACGAATATTTTACTGTCTTTAAAATAATTCGACCGGATGGGAAATCTTTAAATTTCCATCGCAGATCACACTCAAGAAATTCCCAACAGAGTAGAATGTCCCGCTGTAGAGAAATGTCTTGAATTTTCGCTTAAATTTTCAATTTGTTGGACTTCTGTGAAAATGTCACGCTTATACGAAATCTGATTATTCATGGATTGAGAGCAGTATTCCGCACACTGACGAAACTATGGTGTGATAATGTCAAAATTAATTGCCGAAAATGTTTCCAGTAATGGATTATGAAATAGTGCAAGGCGACAAACTGGGATATTGTTATGAAATGTTCTGACCCATTTTCAAGTATTTCTTTATTAATAAACAATTTTTCGAAAACATATACTTTGTCACATTTTAATGCCCCGCAAAGTTTGTCGGTATGTTGATGGAACGTCCGGTGGAAGCTTTTGTTCTTTTAGTTCTAAACAGGTTGCCCGTACGATAGTTGATTCGAATGCAAACCGAACAAGGAATTAATAAGCAAATTTTTTTACAATTCCAAATTTTTTAAACGCCTTGGCGTAATACTTACTGATTACAATACCTTTATATCAATATTAAGCACGTCATATTACATCAGTTAAATAACCATGAATTTTGAGCAAAACATTCAATAAATTCTTTATGGAGACTATTAAGTTTGACCGTTTTCAAACCCCATCAACGAAATGTTCGACAGTCATTTTACCGTAGGATCGGAATGCTTCCACTTAGCAAAACTGACTAAAACTATTTCAGGAATTGGTGAAGTTTGCAACTTACATCATCAGACAATTCGTAAAAGTGGCCGAAGTCAACAAAAAAGTTTTTATGGAAGTACTATTTTGGAAATCGATCGGCGAATGCTATGAAATCGAACATGGATATACGGAGTCACATGGAAAGTGAGTACAGACCACAGATATTTTATTGGATTTTGATACATGCTCTGTTCAGTTTAAGCCTTAGTCCAAATTAGAATTTTGAGTCGTATCCTAAATGAAGACTATAAAAGTAAAATGTAATATTATATCGTTCTGAATTGCTTTATTTCTGTCACGCTGCAACGTGTATTACAGTTTTACCTGAACGGGTGTTTTAGAAAGTTTCAGCGAACTTAAATAAGTCAACGAACTTTAATGTACGGAGTTTGCTATACTCTTCACTTTACCTTTCCTGTTAATATGCTTCTGCCATGGCATAGATCAGAAAATATCCTCATAGCACATCAGGCCAACTTTATTTTATACAAAATATTCCGATAAAGCCATAAAACTTTCATAATAAAAAACAGAAAAAGTACAAACGATCGTTTATAATGTAGGAAGTAAATCTGGGCTTTGCTTTTCTACGCGATAAACTTTTCTAAGGATTGGCCCGAAACCTTTATGGCCGCTAACTTTATTCTTTGGTGAAAATGGAGAAATTGGTTTTCGTTTCATACGTTGTGTGGCATTTTACTTTTTATAGTGTTGAGGATATTGAGCTATTTTAATACAATGGTTTAGTAAGCTAGTCCGGACTTAAAACAATTATTAATATCTTTGAGTATGTGCAGGAAATCATTGCAAAAAGTTTGGTCCGAAGAGGAAGAAGACGAAGTGAGGCGACTTTTTATGGAACATCAGCAATCTGGTAATGAGCAAGGTAAGCTCCCATATGTGAAAGTTTTGATTGTTTTATTAAACTAAATTGGCGTTGCCGGTAACTATCGTCAAAAGGGCACAATTTACAGGTTTATTAGGGAATACCTCGAATTTATTTAAACATAAATCAATTTAAATGACTGGGGATGTGACATTTAATTTTTACATACAGGGTGATACAAAATTGGTGTCGTGCGTTTCAAGGTGTTATAAGGTTCACTTGAAGAGTACGAGAAAAATATTGAACCATTTATCCTCGAGAATGTCTAGAATATATTAGCAAATTGAAAATCGAATTTCAACTTATAGCATTCATTTTTCGGGAACTGATCTGGAAAATCTTTATCGCTTTCCCTAAAATAAAACTGTACTTTTAAATAGAACTTAATGCTACGTTACAACGACCTTTTCATAAATTGGGGAGCAAAGTGTGACAAAGTGCGAAATAGCTTTTGTCGATCAGTTGAATGTGTAAATTAAAATTAAATTTTCTTCTCCAATAACGAAAAATAATGATCTGGAAATTTTTCTTTGATGTTCATATCAATTAAAATTAAAGTTTTTTTTATTATATTTGTATACGTATACAGATACATTCGTCCATCCATCGTTAGATACATTCAACTAAGTTTATGTTACAGGTCGCACCAACAGTCCTATAATAATGTATGTCCCCTTTAAAATGACTCATTTGATTAAAAAAACGTTCAGCTTGTTTATTGCGATACAATTACATTAGATTTTTTGGTTTGACTAATTTTAGTTCTTAATTATTAAACTATTAATTAAATTTTAAAATTAAATTATTAAAGGAGCATGCGAAGAAAGTTGCCCATTGTACTAGTTAGGTAACATGGTCGCTCAGATAAGGTAATGATTTACAACTTTATTGTTTGTAGACGTCGTCGATTGGATTACTGCAAATATTATTGACCAAACTAAATCGCGAAGGCAAATACTGAAAAAGCTGAAGGACCTAATGCTGCTGGTGGACTACAAAGGCAGGAAGAAATCCGCAAAGTCAAAATCTAGTAATTGGACAACTGAAGAAGAAGAAAACTTAGAGGAACTATTTGAACAATTTAAAGGCAGTGGTGGTAAGCGAAGAGAATGGTGTAAATATAATTGGAAAGAGCGGTTGTTTATCAAAATCTAATGTTTGAGTTATTTATACATTTCTGGACAACCCCATAGGATGAACAATCATGAAAGATCTTCCTAGATCTTTTATTCCTACCAAGTGACGATAATTAGCTAATATCCAACGCTTTTAAGTTGACTTAAAATCCCCATAATGCATGTCAACAAGTGCTGGTTCTTCTTCTTATACATGCAACTCTGTTAGAATCAGTTATAATGTGAAGCGCAGTCTTCCATAAAATAATTTTTGGCTGAATGACAATCAAGTTTTATGAAGTACAAATTAATTATACTCCCCCTGGCCCTTACATATATTTTCCTAGTTCTTTAACTATAATCACTCGTTCGAAATTGTATTTGCCTGAAAATGTTTAATTAGTTTCTTTACACTTTACAGATCCCATGGCAAACATTTTGGAAAACTTGGAGGTTTCAAGACCGAAAAACCGAGTGATAGAAAAGCTGCTTGTCATGGGCTTAATTCGAGACAAAAAGGAAGTTAATAAGAAAAAGGCGAATCGAGGAAGAAAACGTAAGTGGTTACTGTTTTCTTTATTTGACGTCGGTTTTTCGTTTCATTTTTTTAACTTTGTTGATTAATCGTGTCCAACTGCAGTTTACATGTATTTAATTTCTAAAGTGTTTGGTTTCACCCGATTTAATTTCGTTGGTTGATAGTGGTGGAACTATAAAAAAGTAATAAGTCTACTCAAATGCACTAGTTTTGCAATTTTACTTTGGAATATTTTAAATTTAATATTTCAAAATGGCATTTTCTAAATATTTCGAATGTTCGCTGAAGAATCAATTATGGAATAACATCAAATTTTTTTAGTTGCCTACATTTGATATAAGCTGTCAGCATTGTCTCAAAAAACACCCGAACGAATTCAAAAAAACATGGTTATTCGTGATCATTTTAACGGCTTATTTATTGATTTAGCGTTTGGTCATTGATTTGCAACCTATTCAAAGAACACTTGAGGAGCAGCTTGTGTTTAAAATGAGAGAAAAATTATTGCGTTATTAAGATGAACCGCGCGATGACATAAACAGGACCGAATTCTTGCACTGAAAACTTGTCTCATTATTTTCTGTTGAATATGGTTCACTTTCCGTTTAATTTCTGTGGGTTTTTCAAATTTAATAAACATTTTGCGAATACCGAATATCTTTGCATTTCCATCAAAAAACAAAGCAGCTGCTGCGAGATCTTTTACTAATAAAAGTCGGGGAAAATACTGTACTTGTAGCAATCCCAGATTCCTAAAATAAATATCTTGACATTTACTTAAGATATATTATTTGTTTGAAGTAGATGAGAGACGTGTTTTCGGAAGTTTTACCATAATAAAACTGGGGAATTGAAGGAAGTTTTGGCGTAATCTATAAGAGCCCTAGCCTTTTTTCATTTTACCTCGTCGAGCACGCACGCCGACAAAGAGCTTTTTCCACCATCATAAAAAATCACTGCTCTGCGAACGAGTCGCGGCTAAATTGAAAGCGAGAATAACGTGCAATATCGACAAAAATTCGAATAATATATATTTGGTTTTATTCTTTTGGCTGCCGGCTTTCCGATGAACACCGAGAATGGTAAAATAAAACTTTCCCGAAGCCGAGATCTTTTATCTTCTAACGTCTAGAATTTCATTATCGATATGGTTTTTTCGCATTTTATATCTTATGCATGTCGAACCTTTCGGTACAAACTAAATTAAAGAACGGAGTAAATTTTTGAAAAGGAAAGCAAACTTACGATATTTAAACGAACAGAACCAAATGGAATTTAAGAATTAACAAGTTAGTTTAAAAATTTAAGCATACTAAAACGAATACATTTTATGAACTAATTTTTTTTATATGCAAGGAAGAAGGTAAGAAACCTGGTACGATGCGAAATTATGTTAATATACTTTTATCGGGAACATATAATTTATTAAGATTATACAGGGTGTTCCGTAAATATGTTAAAATATGTTAACAGCGTGTTCTTCTAGTTATTTTAGAAGGGGTCTTCCTGAGATTTTTTTTAATTTGAGGTTTCGTTGTTGAGATATTTGATTTCCAACGTGGCTGAAAACGTTAGTTTTCGTTGTTTTCTTTGAAACGGTTAAACATAGAAATTTCAATTTTGGTATACATTATAAGCTAATTGAGTGCCATTTTACGATAGTGTTTCGTGGTTCAGTTTGATTTTATACAGGGTAGAAATGTGTAACCTCTACTTTTGTTTTTTTGAGAACTTTTTTGTGTGCATTTAAACTTTCCTCGACATAATTTTTTTTTATTACTACAAGTTATTTACGAACTTTTAATTACTACCAGTTATTTACAAACTTTAGTTGCACTAGTTTGCTCGCAAAAAAATAAAATCGTCTTCTTTGCCGTTCTCAAAATGTGTAAGTAATTAAGTAATTTTTTTAAAATCTGATAACGTTTTCATATAATAATTTTGGTAAGCATTATTAGTTGATTACTAACAACCTAAATTATTTTTCTAAATTGTTTATTTTGGTTCAGATTATAATTATTAACTTTGAATAAATTTTACTTAAGTAATAACAAGGTAACAATAGGCGCAACGATATAAACAAACAACATTAAATTTAAATAGCCATTCTAATGTTGACTTAGCAGCTGCTAAAATTGGTCACCTTGACATTCTTGGCATAATCGCAGTATTTTAATGAAATTAAAATTTACAGACCGTAAAGTTTGCACTGAAATATGAAATATTCTTTTCGGAAGTTGTTCGATTGTATTAACTTCTGTTGAATATACCGTATTTTTTAAATGGTCCCAGAAGTAAAAATCAAGCACGTTTAGATCGGGAAATGTGGGAGGCGAGTTTATAGGAGCTTCCTGAGCTCTCCCAATTCAACGGCTTGGAAAGTTTTGATCAAGCCGAAACGATTTAATTTTTATGCGGGGAACATAGTGCCCTTAGGAAAAGACAATGACAGATCAAAAAGTTGATAAACAACTTGTAGTAATTAAAAAAATTATGCTTATAAAAGTTGAGCACAAGAAAAAGTTATGAACAAAGCCTAAGTAGGGGTTCCACATTTCTACCCTGTATAACAGTAAGCTGAACTACAAAACACTACCATAGAATGGCACTCAATTAGCTTATAATGTATACCAAAATTGAAGTTTCTATGTTTAACCGTTTTAAATAAAAAAGATTAAAAAAAATTCATTATTACATCTAAATTGAATTGCTTCAGTAAAAACGTCTCTATCGTTTGCCTGTTTCAAGGCAGTTAGTGAAATTTCTTCTATTCTGGAGTTGGTCATACCTTTAAATACATTTTTCAGACTTTGAGCCGAATAATTGTAATATCATTGGAAAAGTCTAAATTTAACCACGAAAAGACTAATTAAAATGTAGGAATAGTATTTGTCTGCGAGTCAAATGATTATACAAATATTTTTTGTCTGATTATTTTTTCATTATATACAAATTGTACATACTTTCCTGACTGTGTTTCAATTCCAAATCAAAATAAATTCCTGGGCTTCAGTCATTTATTGTCTATTTATTGATTTGGAATTATATACAAATTTTTTTGAAATACATATTAGGTTCGTTGTAGAATATAAATATTATGAAGTTTTTGACTTCACTAAAATAGCAAAATATAACGAACAATTCAACTATCCAATACAATTTTTCAGGTGCAATTAAAAAATTATTTGGGGTGTTTCAATCTGTTGAAAAAAATGTTTAAAGACAAGTTTCTAGATCCCAACAGACGTGACGCCTAATACTTTGATTTTAAAAAGTATGTGGATAGATATTGCGGAAAAATGGTGATGTTAAATTGGAAATCGACGTTTAAGTTCAGTTGGTTGTTTTTTCGTCTTAGCAGTCAAGTGTGGTTGAACAGTTTTTGGTGAAATTTTATTCATTTAGGCTTTATAGGCATAATTGCACTTAAGGTCTTAACTGATTGCTTTGTCCTCAATTAAGTCATATCAACTAGTCCATTGATTTGTAATATCAAATCAGTCATTATGGCCGGTCGTTCTTAATGCGGATAAGGCGGTTCCGTGCAAACTGTGTTGGTCCGAGATCGTGCGGAAAACAGCGAATGATCATGGATAAAGACAAGTCGAATGATCCAATTTCATTGCAACGTACTTGAGCTCGTCCACTATCATTGCGAACTATACACAGCAAATGGAATGAATTTGTTAGCAAGTTCGCACTGTTTATGACTGAATAGCGGAGATTTGGTTGTTGCACACCGACGAGAAATTTATGCTGTAAAAACTAATAAATCTTGTAAATGAAAGAAAGGCTTTCTTGGGGGATTGTTTGATCACTTGGTTATTATTAATTTTACGAGAAAAAATGTTCTTGCATTGCTATTGTAGACAAAAATAGAAAAAAACAAGTAGCAGCAAATTGCGATTGAGATGATTTGTTTGTAATGTTCAACAGCATACATTTGTGCGGATAAGGCATAATAAAACATAAAATGTATTTGAACGTCATCTATTGTACTTAAAGTAATCATTTATTTCAAGAACTTATGTGTTATACAATTCTTGAGATGAAAAATACATTTCATTTTTTTCTCTGACGTTATAAGCTGAACTGAACCCTCAGTTTTCACCCAGGGATTCAAATCGGACCGTTCTCGAATGTGTTTCGTCAGATATTTGTTCCGTACAAACTGTGCTGCTCTTTCTCTTTACCAATTATAATGTTTTGCAACAGGCATATGCATTTAATAAGTTTACCGACAGATTAAGGATCTACTTCAGTTGATTTTTGCAGCTATTTGCTATTCATAATTCCGACTGCACATTCAACAACATGCCTTGCTCGACACAAACGCTCTTAAACATTACTTCGACAGGCCCAAGTTTTGATGCTGGGAAAGGTCTCAATAAATACGTTTTAAGTGGTTAAGCTTCATCTCAGCTACTCAATAGCTTCTTATTTTTAACTTTAATTGTCGTCTGACAAGATAACAGGTTTCCAAAAGAAAATCATCCACTACTGTTAACACTTGTATAATGACGTTGACTAAATTTGTTTATTTGATACATAACGTAACTACACATGACTGATCAATTCGTATGAAAAAAAATTCCAGTGGATGAGACCCACATATGCGAAATCTAACGAAATCATTCGTTCGATTTCGGACAAACGCAGTTCGCACGAAACAGCATCCAAAGAACTACCGTTTTAAATCCGGAAATTTATAGTTTGCCTGCCGCAAAAAAGAACTCTTGCTTGTCTGCACTTGGCAAGTGAACTACTGTCCAGTGGCTTTCATTTATGGTATGTTCGTTGAGATATTATCAAATATCGTAAATGGGCTTGCGTAATTTTAACTGCGCATAATATTTAAAACCTTTGTATATTTTAATCTGTTTTTCCATACTTTTCTATTTGTGCCCGGACATTTCTCAGCAGTAAAACTGCTTGAATTATAAACATTACTTTTGTATTTTAGTAGTAACTTTAAAGTGCTCTTCTGTAAACAGTCCGTTGTTAGTTTGGCCGTTCCA